ATAGCATTATTATAGTTTTATTATTATGAGCAATTGCTTAATATTTGGGCCTAAGTTGGGGTAGGAAAGTAATATAATAGAATTTTTTAAAACATGGACTTTACGGAGAAGTGTAGGGACAGGATGTTTTATAGTCAAGGTAAATGATGAAAGGGTCCAGGGCGGAGGAAATACTGGAATCCAGGGGAGTTTCATAGACATCCTTTGTGCCTTTCCCTCACTGCACCAATAACACATAGCTGAAGTCGAAGAGAGAAAGACCAGTAGACTAATAGCAGTGCTCACAGCACCAGTAGTCACGGTAATAGTACAGCAATCAGTTTATGGGTGCAAGCTCAATAAATATTGTTGATGTATTACTTAGTAGACATTTAATCAAATTTGCTCATTTGAAATTTCGAGCACAAAGACCTTATACATCTCAGTGCTAAATTACTCCTAAGCAGGGAAGCTTGAGAGCCATGGAATTCTGATGGCAGCTGGAGCTCATAGCCAATGAAGGAAGCTCCTATCAGAGCTCTTCTGATTTACCCACCCATTTTTTTGTCCCCCAAACACAATCCCTGAAGTAGCCTAATGCAATCAACCACTACAAGTAAACTGGCATGTATTCCCAAATCCTTGACCCTAGAGCAGCGGTTCTCAATATATGGGTCATGAACCCTTTTTAACAATGAAAATACATTGTGGCATTAGGAAGGTTGAGAACCACTGCCCTAGAGTGAGGGCTGGCTCATGGCCTTATGTAGGATAGGAAAGAAGTCTGTAAAGGAGAGGAGAGCCAGCAGACACAAGTGAATTGTGTGTACTTAACCCTCGTTTAAGCAGCTAGTGAGTCATGGTTGTTGTATAGGAGACCTTGCGACCTTATTATAAAAGGCAGTTGTATGGGTCAGAGTGGGAGGATGCCAGTGACTGGCCACCAATGAGGAGGAGGAGCGGGAAATGATATTTTAGAACTCACCATTAATATTCTGGGAAAAGACTGCAGTAAACTGCTCAATGTCCACAAATTCCTCCTGTCCCCATATATTCACCGCTGACAATCTGATTTTGCTGCACCTCCTATTTACAGGTGGAGTCTGTTTCTCTACCCTCAACGATCTGGGCTGAGCTTGGGGTTTATTTGAACAAATAGAATAACGCGTTGGTGATGTAGAGTAAGTTAGGAAGGTCAAGCCTCGAGACACTTTATAGCTTCACCTTCTTGGAAGGTGACTCTTGAGATGCCATCAAGGAAGATGACCTGTGCAAAAAGACTCTTGAGAATGAGCGAGGCCCAGCTACGCCCGCTGGCCCAGCTGTGCCCAGACCCCAGCCCACCGGTTAGCCAGATGTGACTCATGAGAGAAGCAAGGATTGACTTGCGGGATAACTGCAATTCAACCCACTGAATCCTGAGGATAAAAGATCGTTGTGCTGAGGTTTAGGGTAGTTTATAATAGACTACAGAGGCCAAGTGTAGCTGACCCTTCCTTTTTTTTTTCTTAACATTTTCAAAGAATCTGAGGACAGAATTGGAAGTGACCAAAGGGGACCATTTTATGTCTATATGTTTCAATAGTTCATGAAGTTAACTGGAAACTCGCCAAACGTAATTTTTCATTCTCAATGTTGAAGTTCATTTGCCTTTAATTGGAAAAATTGTTTTACCCATTTTATATTTTAAAAACCCCACAAAGTTAAATTTAAATACTATTCTAACACAAACACTGAATTATAAATTTGTTGCTTGAAAGTTAAATAACCTTCAATTTTTTCCCCCCTGGGAAGCTAAAAGCATTTTCAAAAATAGGAATAGAAATTTTATTTTCCCTGAAAGTTCTCAGTAAAGCAAAAGAAAGCTCTGTTATCCAATTATCCTCAAAGCCTTAATTAAAGTCAAATGTGAAGCGCGAGTTCAAATTCCTCAATTTTATTTCCCAATCCACATAGAGAAGCATCAGAAAAACATTCCTCAATTCTTATTTCCATACTTTATAATAGGGCTCATTTATTCTTCTTTATGAGTTTACATAAATTTACTACATATAATAGCAACACCACATGAAATAAATAGATCACGAACTAAGCAGACCCTTAATAAGACCATTTGCACAGAGAATATTGAATATACGGTTATGTACCTAGGCACCAACATTTTGCCAAGCATTTCATGAGATTGCATTAGTTTGAAACACATCAACATTCCTATTATAAAGTTTTCCCAAGGTGTCTCTAGTGAAGCTAGGAAGAAATGTATTTGTGCATAAGTTCAAATATAATGGATAAACCTGATTCGAAAGCCTCCATGTGCAGCAGGAGTTATATTCAGAGTTGCCATAGCAGCCACCCACACTCACACACACACACACACAGGGTTGGTGGGGAAAAAGAGAAAAGCAGTTAGCGAGAACAGAATCTATTGTTAAAAAGACAGAAGTACCCTTCAATGTAATTACAAGCAGGAGCCTAACGTTTAGTCTGAATCACGTGTTTAATGAGAGACTTCCTAGTGTTGGAGTGTTTATTAAATGATTTTTCTTTGAACGAATCTACCATCTGCACCCATGGCTATTGTGCAGGAGAGAATTCAGCTGAGTATGCACACACTAGGGCCAACGATTGAATGTTTTCCTCTCTGGAACATTCAGAATCATTGTGGCCAGAAAAAACTGTGGTTCTATGGATCTGAGCAAGTTGCTTCACTTTCTGAATCTCCTCATCTATAAAATGAGTAGAAAATCCATAAAATAATCTATAAAATAGTAGTATAATTCTTTAATGAAATCTATAAAATAATAGTATATTCTTTAAGGAAATGTTATGACACTTCAATAAATGAGCACAAATAGTCATTTAATCAATAATAATGATAAATGATTTTAATAATACATAGGAATTAGTAAAGTAGTAAATAACTTAGGAAAAGTGAAGCAATTGATGTCTGATACATAATAAATGGTCAATTAATGGCTAAAAAAGGTATTATTTTTATTATTAATATCTCCAAGTCTTTATTATAGTCTAGAACAGGGTCATTTATAATGCAAAAGTTGCTAAAACAAGCGCATGCAGGTGACCAGCAGACCAAGGGCAAGATAAGATGCTAAGATTTTTCCAGTACATAAAAGGATAATGCTTTCTGTCATTTAAATGCCTTTGCCACACTGTTTTATCAGAATAAAAGGCTAAGTATATTATAATAGCATATTTGCCACCAATGGCAAACATTGGTTACCCAGCAAAATCTAGTATCTGTTAGTGCTAAAATAGTCATGTAATGGTATTTGGGGTCAGAGAATATTCTGGAATATTTCTCCCATCATTGGCTTCATTGCATATTTATGTACAGATACATTTGCAATTCATACTCCAGATACAAATAGAAACATCAGATTTAGATATGATGGCAATGAATGAAAAGTATGTTGTGATTTCTGATTCACTCAAGTTTTAAATCTCCATTTTAAGGCTGAGTGCTTCACATCCTAGCAGAGGCAAAACATTTAGTCAATCAACTTAGTGAACAGAGAGGACTATGCAGAAGTTAGCATATTTTACATCAGGCCCAAAGGTACCTTAAAATGTGAAGGAGAAAGCAAGTCTGTGGGTTACGGAACTTAGGGAAAATTAGAGGATTAGCATTGAGGAGCATAGGAAGAGGGCAAGGAAGGTGGTGTAACAGGTGAGTTTTGCAAAAGTTCGAAGCCAGTGGAAGAAACAATGGACAGGATAGGATTGGACTCTTAACTCTCTATTTTTTTTTAAGCCTAGGAAGTGAGGGATACAATTAACTTGGCTGAAAACTTAGAAAATGTTAAATGCATACTCAATCCCCTCTAAAATTACCCTTCCATTGTAAATGTAATGTGCTATGGTATATTTCCCCTCCTGATCTATATATTGTACTATAATATGTGCTATATATTACTCCTATATAGTAATCTTTATTTCCAATCTCAAGTAGAGATGCCACAGGATATTGCTACATATTCTTTATGCTTTTAGTGATAACTTGGCATGATTGCACTGGAAATACTTCCATTATCAAATAGCTCTTTAAATGTCAAAATTATCCTGAGTTTTTCCAAGTCATGTGCGAGGATCAGATTTGGTATTGAATTGGTCCTGAGTTTTAACAGATCTCTTGTCAATGAGATGAAATTGGAAGGAAGTCAATATTGGTACCCCAAGGACTCGGGTGGAGGAGAACCGCTCCCCCCAACCATTTAATGTCTCTGAACTTTAGACTGGAGTTTGTGGAAAAACCTCCAGAGAGCTTGTCTACAGTCCAAGGCACATGCTGGTGATGGCGGGGAAGGCCGATGACACCACTGCTGGAACGCAGAGCTGCCTCCTGGCAGACCCCACTCTCCTTTCCACTTCTGCACATCAGTAATGAAGCCATTTGCTTCCACCTAAAGGCCCTGAGACGCTGTACCGGGGCCTGGTTCTGACGACTATAATAATGGCAACACGTACTCAAGAATAAAGGAAAGAATATGATTTCTAAAGACATTTCAGCTAGTTATGTGAGAAAACGTTAAAAAGCTGATTGAGATATTATGATGATCTAGTCACCAATAACAAAAGGGTTTTCTGGAAAAAGAATGCCCACTTCTCCACTCCCACCAGGGAGTATGAGCCCTTGTGTGGGCCGCTAAGAACACTGCGTAGTCCTCTTCATTGTGCTTTTACAAGTTCATGGGGGATACGACAGAACGTATTTGTTTCCATTAAGTCCTATTTAATGTAAAGACAAATATATTATCAAACAGAGTCTATTTGAAATGCTAATGGCCGTATTTTTTAATACAACAGACTACCCACACATAATCTCATGAGAGTCAACTTTGTTAATTTCATTCACAGTACAAACAGCTATTATTAAAAATAAATTAAATGGCCCGCAGAAAGCTGTTAATGTACTATTCGTGACGTTCATTACGGCGGGGAAAAGGAATGTCGCCATTAGGAGCATCGTGGAAGCACAGACTGAGTTTAGAGTCCTTACTTACTGTTAGATACATAGCTGCATAGACACTTAGAGCCGCTTCTTTGGATGGGAATGTTTTCCTGGCTCTCATGATAAGATCCGGGTTGCCGGTGCAGGCCTCTTCCCCGCTGATGAACTGTGTGTACTGCTGGCACCCCAGGGCTGTGTAGTTGGGCTTACACAGGGCAAGGAAATGTGGGGCCAAGTTCCCTGTAACGACTTGTCCAGCATTTACAAAGATATCTGTAGCAAATAGTCCAAATGTATAAATTCCTGAGGAAGGGAAAACAAAAACAATTTTAACTCTTTGCACTTTTCCTTTTGTATTTTTAGTAGATAGTAAACCAAAATGGAAATATTTTGGAAGCAATAAGCTATTCTGTCCTTAAATACACGAATGAATGGAATGAACGGAATGCGGTTCCATTCATTTTAGTCCTCCCTGGATTATTGGGAGAGTTGAGAGTGGTAAGTTATTTCTATATTGAGCTGTTACCACTGGCTATGTTTTTCTGCATGGCAGCATTATAAGATAAACAAAGAAAACATATCCAAGAACTATGCTGTGGGTCACACCAATATTTTCTATGGCGACATGACTCTCTTGAGAAGGTATAGTCTGTCATGCTCTGTTAATGTTGGCAATCTTTATTTTTTCCCTCTCTCTGAAAATATGTCTTATCTCAGCAATGTAAGAAAAAAGTATTTGTCTCTCTCTGATTATGCCTCTTAAGCCCATTCAGCCTGATATTAACTCTGCTGGAGGTATCAATTAGCAGTAAAATCCAGGGCCATCAGCTTCCATTTAAATATCATGGAAAAATTGTAAGCAGAATGCTTTCAGTTTAATCTCTACCCTCCCTTCAGAAACACATTTTTTAAAAGTCATAAAACAATAATTTAGTAATTTAGTCCCACTTTATATTCTACAGATTGGCTTTTATTTTTCAAACTTTGGAATAATTTAGTAAACAATAAAGCAATCACAATTGAAGTTTTGAAATTATCTTTACAGTTTTGAAATGTATTTGCTTTGGTTGTGGAAGGTATAAAATTAAGTGCTCGGTTTTTTTTTTTTTTTCTCCATTCATAAGGAACTTGTCAAATTACATGAATCCCCAAAATACTCACTGAACTCATAGTCACTGATCATTATTGTCAAAACTTATCTTTCTACTTGGACAGGCAAAATAATACTTTTGCATTAATTTCAATTAAATTTACAGATATAACCTTCAAGGATATGGTAACAATGTAAAAAAAGTGATCTTTTTCTTTATAATTTAAGGAAATGAAATCCATCAGGACCTTTAAAACTATACTAACATAATACTTCCCAAACCATAGATTTATTAAAAAGTTGTATAACTTTAAAACAATTAAATGATTTTTTTCATAGTCATATATTTCTGGATTTTTTTTTGATAGTTTCCTAAGTCTTTTCATCATTATTGGGTATTGTATAAGAAGTCACCAAAAAGTTGTACTGGGTTAAATAAGTTTACAGTATTCTATTTATATATGTGTAGCTATATTTTAAATTTTTAAAATATTATGGGTGGTGCCTATGACTCAATGGGTAGGGAGCTGGCCCCATATACCAAGGGTGGCGGGTTCAAACCTGGCCCCGGTTAAACTGCAGAAAAGAAAAAAATATATGCAAAACTATAAAATATTTACACACAAAAACCTGTATATAGCAAAACACTACATGTATCCAAATGGCAATGCAACAGAGACATTAATTCTCTCTTCACCTAAAAATTCTAAAAGGAAACAATCAGAGCTCTTTCTTTACAGCTCATCACCATTCCATGAGTCATACAAAGGAAAGGTTTCCCGAAGCAGAAATTTGGGAGACTCAGAGAAATGAAAGAGAATTGAGCTCAATAAAACGTTAACATATAAAATCTCTTCTTCCAGAACCTCACGGCCAAGCCTGGGAACCTACATTCCCATCCCTTTTATCTGTACTCCTTTGAAATCTAGGCTAAGGTGTACTCATTTCACTTAACTCAATCGTTCTTTTTTTCTGGTGGAATAGGTTTCCCTGTTTAAAATAGAGAAAAACATTTGATAAGACTATGGCAATGTCTCCTGAGACTTGAAAAGCTCCCAAATGTGTTTCAGAATTAAAATGTTAGCCCATCAGGCCCAAGGCCAATATCGTAGTTGACTACAAAGATAATTATTGAAGTGAGATCTCATGAATGGGTCTCCTCTGCCGACCTCAAGAATAAGGTCACTATAAAGGGCGATGTGCTATTTAGGCAGGAATGCTTTGCTTACAAGCTTCCATGTTATTATTACTAGAAATATGCCAATCATAAGGGAGCAAGAAACAAATGAAGCTTCCCTAAATGTTTAAAAAATCGTATAATAGCTATGAGGTGTGTGGAGGCATGTGGAGAATTAAAAGCGCACTTTACTTTGAGTCACATATTACTGAGAAATACGTGTGCAAATGCAAAAATTAGTTCCCTTAGGTATAATATAATTGGCTTAATAGCATCTAGGAAAGCATCAGTTTCATTAAATCCTTTCAGATCTGAGTACGTTATTGTCTGTTGCTTACTTTGTCATTAAATGACTGATGAGAAATAAGAACATATGTCAAAAAGTAATTTTCTAAGGCTTTATATCAAAGTTATCCCTTCAACAGGATAAATAAAGGCTTTGGAGCATATGACTTAATGGCAAGGACAAGAACGGTCTTAGAAATGAAGACCTTTAGTCTCCAAAGAGATCTAAAAACCTGATGAGATTTGGTCGTTCTTTAATGGGTTTATAGAAATCACCTGATTTATGCATAATATCTCCAAATTCTTCATCTTCAACTCTTCTACATGAGAAAGTGCTGAAGATGTACAGCGTTCTTAAGGCTCCCTTAATACTGATCAGAATTCATCTGAAATGTTATTTAGTGTATACCTATATACTTATTTGTATCTGATAAGCTCAGGAAATAATAGTTCCCTTTAAATTTTTTGTTGCAGCTAAAAGATTCATCTAGGCCAAGTTTCTATTGAATTGAAATAATTGTCAATAATTCAACGATTTTCATATTTATTATTGTTAGCATTTGAGATTGGAAGTTCAATTATCAGCAAATCTCGTCCTCTAATAAAATCACCGAAACACTTTTGCTCATGTAAAAAACAGCTCAGAAGTAGTTCACAGAGCAACATAAGGTAACTAATATACATAATATTTCTTCTATTTGCTGGACTTTTCTTAACTTTTATGATATTCAACAACTTATCTAGATTATCATTTTCTCCAAGCATTGCATCTGAAATTACATAAGCATAGTAAATTATTTAATTTAATTATGTAAAAATTAAATTCTTAAAGAATATTAACTATCTGAGGGTGCTGTTATTTTTTCCTTAGTGTAATGTGAAAATGACATCCCACAGGGAGGACTTGCAATATTATAAAGTAGGATATAATATTTATTTTAAAAACCAAATTGAAACATTTCAAAAAAGAGATAGCCTAATATTTGTGTACAGTTAAAATAGGGGTTATTTTAAAGATTCGTTTATACATAAACATTGTTTCAGCAACAATAAAAATAATTTAATGAACACGTACCAAGAAATCGGACAGTTCGCCGCACCAGTGGGTTTATATAGCAGCAATCTCCAGTTAAAATAGTTTTTTCTTGGTTTTCAAAATCCCTTGTGGCTAGTTGTAGGCAAAACACAGCAGTTTCTCCAACTATTATCTTGGAAGGAAATAAAAGATTAAAGAATATGAGAATATAGCCAGCATAAATATAGAATATTTTTATTTAAAAAATGCAAAATGGAATTCATTTGAATATTTGCCATATTTGCTTACTTATACTCTTTTATTAAAACCTTATAACCTTTTGTATAACCTTATAACCTCTTATAACCTTATTATAACCTTTTATTATAACCTAATTCCTATGTATGGAAACTATATTTCCCTTAATTCCAGAGAGTCCTAACTTGATAAGTTTTGAATAGAAATGAACTATAACATTTTTGTTTTCTAAAAGACTTCATTAAAACGTGTAAAGGACTTTCACTTATTTTTGGTGTGTAACTAAATTCCATGTTTTATTTTTTAAGTAGCTGTGTCTTGTTTAAATTTGACTCTACTTTGGAATTCATAACAGATTGTCTATGCAAATATTTTTGAAAGGATCTTATATAGACATACTAATTTAAAATCAATGTAGTACATTTATAATAAGAAAAAAATTAATTTGTACATGTTTGGCCTTAAGATTACCTTATTCTGAGACATTATTAGGAATTGTAATTATCAATATTTATACTTGATATAAATATATTATTTTAGTCTTTATAAAAACCAAGCAAAATAGAGAATATTGTGCCCTTTTTACAAGTAGAGAAAACAAGACTTGGAATACAAGTGAAGTGCCTGACAGCCAGTAAGTAGGACTAGGTTCTGGTGCAGACACTCTGCTGACTTATTAAAGGACCTGGCTATCTCACTTACATTGCAGGGGTTTTCCTACATAGGTCCCTAAATCGTGTAGCAAGACATTAGAGCAATTGTTATTATTCCATTTTACAAAGGAGGAAAAAGAGATTTAGGGAGGATAAGTAATTTCCAGGCCTTGAGGCCAGTCAGGAGCCAAGCAGAGATTTCTGACTCAGCCTCAGATCTTTTTGGCTTTATTTAAGGCCACGAATAGCAGAACAAGAAGTAAGATAAAGAGAAAAGTCACCTGGAGCCCAGAGTGTGTCTGCTAATTTGTCCTTGCTAGGTTTGCTTTTAGTATGTTTTTCTAATGTTAATTGAGACACTCTATGGAGAGCCCCTGACGTTCCTGGAGATGCTTGTAGGGTCTCCATGAAAAGTGGTATCTATGATTACAAAACAGTCCAAACAGCAAGTCGGGGCAGAGAAGAAGGAGGTTGCAGGAGGTTCGATGTCTGACCTATTTTTCCCCCAAGGTGAAGGAGAGATTGTGAAGCATCTCTTCATTTTCATCCTTCTTTCTACCACCTTTTCTTCTTTTCTTAAAAATGCCTCTTTTCCCAAGTAGACTGGTGTTCATGGTTACACCAGAAGATATTGAGCCAAACAATATTAAAAAAGAGACTAGTCTTGCCTGTCTGGTGAGACTTGACTGAATTAGGAAAGACTAAACTTCCAAATTCCTCCTGAATTTCAGCTTTGGCTCTGGCGAAGTAGAGCAGGTGTGTGATAAAACAGTTGATCCAGCCAAAGGAGGCACAGAAAGTCTTCCTCGGGAGTGCGTCATCTGGCACCAGGACCCCAGGAGAAGCTGACAACCAGACAAGCTGGGCGTCTGTCAGATTCTCATCTCCCTTTCTGAATAACTCATGTTGTACCTACTCCTTGCTACTTCGCCTTGAAAGAAATTATTCATCACCATGATGTTTTCTGAGTTTTCAGATTGCGCCTCTTCTGGGTCTGCTTTGCCCTAGAATGCTCCCAGTCCCAACGACCCATCATCCACTCCACTTCATGAGCTGCCGGCTTCCCCACCGGGGCTGTCTTCTCCCCTCCCCTTCTGCACAGAAGCCTCCCCTGGGTCTCCATCCCACAGCACCCTTACCCCACGTTAAGCTATAAGCACACCAAAGTTCCCAGAATTCAGCAAGTACCCAGTAATTCTTAATGAATGGATAAATAAATTCCATTCTCAAAATACTTCATCTTTTGGAGAGGGTATGGGAGAGGGGTGGATGGGTGGAGGGAGGGAGATTGGTGGGGTCACCTCTATGGTTTATCTTACAAGGGTACAAGTGCATCTTTCTAAAAGCAGCGTATGAATGTCTTAACTCAACAAATAAGAAAATGACATGAAGGCTACATTAACCAGTTTGATGAGAGTATTTCAAAATGTATATGACAACACCATACTGTACCCTGTGATTGCATTAATGTACATAGCTATGATTTAATAAAAAAAAAAGTCATCTTCAATAAATCTGAATATCTTTTGATGTTTTGGCTGACTTCCAATAACCAATTCCTTCTGCCTCCTTGAAGGAGGATCTACCCCATACTTTAGTTCCTGTAACCAGATCCTGTAAGTGACACCACCGACTTGATCACTCTTTTAGTTGCCATGTTCTTGACAGACCGAGAGCTGCCTCGTTTGGGCTGCTCTTCACAGAGACATTCTTCTCAGTGGCTTCCTACTACTGACCCCCTTCCTGCTCCTCAGCACATCTCACGCTTCTGAATTTTCTCTTTGTGTCTTAGGCATATCTGCCAAAAGATCTTAGTCACTACTGTTGGCTGCTACTTCAAGGAACCCGCTCAAACTACATGAGACAAAATAGGGAATTTATTCTAGGGTTACCTCCCTCAGAAACTAAGGGAAGGGTGGATTAGGTCCATGAATGGGAAGTCCTCAGGAGCCCGGGCAGAGCTGCCTCCATCTCATTACCCGTCTTCCCTGAAGTGACCCCGACTCTCATCTCAGCTCCTCTGTGGACACCTGACTCGTTCTTGCCTTCCTACAACCTGGCTCTCCTGCTTCTCAGCACACACGGTTTCCCTCAACAGTTTCCCCAAACCTTATCATGAATGTGTCATCTGAGTTCAAAAAAAAAAAATCAATTGATAAGATATGCCAACCCCCAATTCCAAATTCCCAGGGAGTTTAGGTTAACATAGGGGTCTCTCCTGGTCCAATGGACCAAGGTCAAGTAGGTGTGTCATAGTACATGAAAACTGCCTCTGTGGCTAAAGAGGGAGTTCTCAGATGCAGAGTCACTATGAACAGGTACATGTATCCACTTCAAACTCCCATCCATCACATCTCGCTGGACTCGCCCAGGACAGTTCTTGACCTAGACTAGCTCTTTCCAGCACATTCTCTGGTTACTGTGTTCTGTCCACCTGCTTGAGCTTTATCTCATCAAACGCATAAGCCCAGGCCTTAGCATCTGCTCTCCTTCAGAGGGTATCTCTAATTTACATGCTTAGTTCTCTATCTCCCTAGAATCCATTATAGCATCTACGTAACTCCTTATCCCAACCTTATTCTCTCTTAACTTCTCCCACCCAACTTCCTGAGTGAAAACTCTGATTGTTTCCTGTGCTCAGATAAACTCAGATAACAAACTAAGATAACCCTTGTTATGATGAATGCATTTAAGTTAAAGTCCTGTAGGTTAAGAGCACAGTCCAGGCTGTGGACTCAAGAAGGGTTTATAGGGTAGCACCTGTGGCTCAAAGGAGCAGGGCACCAGCCCCATATACCACAGGTGGCAGGTTCAAACCTGCTCCCGGCCACAAACTGCAAAAAAATAAAAAGGTTTATAATCTAATTTTGTCCACACAGACAAAATAATTACTAATAGTGCAAAGTTGCATATGCTGAGTTTTATTTGACTGACTTGGACACCATGTGCCAGGAGAATACTTAGAAGTAGCAGTAAGTTACTGAAGGCCTCTGGGGTGGCCATAAAATGTGTCACTTGATTCCCTGCTGCAGAGAGGGTTGCACACTGATGGCCCCAGCTGCTGTTACTCTGGGTCCACTTCGTGTCCATGCTAAGGCCAGATTTCCTAGAGTCCTCCTGGTCAGTGACTAAGCATGGTAGGGGTGCTAAGAGGATCCTAGTCGTCTACAAGGTAGGATATCTCTAGTGGGCAATTTTGGCATAAAGACTACCCATGAGTCTGAACAAATATTTCTTGAAACTATGCTTCTACCCAATCTGACTACCCGAACTAGCCTACCTAACCTAGTCTGAAGCACTTCCTAACTGGGCCTCCTTCCTTCCCCTTCTGCCCTGGAGTCAGACCTCCACAGCCATCTGAAGGCCCCTCCACTGTCTCTGCTCTTAGCCCCCAACCTCTGTCTTTTACAAGTATTTTTCTAACAAAAATCTTGTACATCGTAGTCTCATTTTCCACCTTGTTCTAGGAAAACATAACCTAACACAGCATCAAAGAAAGATAAGGTGTTATCCCAACTATAAAAATCAGGGGCTGTTATCAGACAAGTGTGGAGGATTGAGAAAGGACTGCAACCAGGAAGACAGGGTTAGGGGAAAAGGTTCCTTGACCTCAACAGAGACGCAAAAAGAGAGTTTTCCTTGGACACAAAGTCACATAGGTAGCATTTGGTAAATGTTGCTATTGCCATAATCAATGAAAACGTTATTGGTAACAAGAATATTCACAACAATGGAGGTGTTGTTATTAAAGCCAATAACATCAGTATACAGTCCAATTGAAGATACTGCTATTAAGAATTGATATTCTTATTTATTCTTTCTTCCTAAGCTTAGTACAACATGAGGCACAAAGCAGGGACTTTTCACTCTCTATTTTCCTCCTATTCCTCCGTCCTTATGAGTAATTTAATACCAGGTCATATTGCCTCTAATGCAGTGGTTCTCAACCTGTGGACTGGGACCCACAGGAATTATAGGACTGCGGCATTAAAGGAAGATTGAGAACCACTGCTCTAATGCATATACTTCTCTTAAATTTGAATTAGAGGTTTTGCTCAGTGAATTGCAGATATATAATTGTCTGTTCTCTAGCATTTGATTTTGGCTCTTTTTCTTCTTTGGCCAGAATCCCTCCATGGTGGACATTATCCCTCCTAGGGCTTTGCCAGCCTTTGCTCCTGTAAGAAATCCTGGGTGTGTATCTCTGCCCTGAACTCCAGATGGAGGTGTCCATCCACCATGACACAGCAGTATCTCAGCATGCTCACGTCAACCTGTGCAC